CATACTTTTTCCCCACCCTGTATATATAAAAGGTTCTTCAAAAAGTCCGGAAACGGTCGAATATCTTGAAAACGAAGCATTTTTGAAAAAAATGTTTCAGACAAAAATTGTAGGGTTTAAAATGATGTATTTACTGATCTAATCAGTTTGACCTTGGGTGGCGTCACCAAGGCCAGATCAAGGTCACGTCGATTTTTTTAAATGGAACCCCCTATTTTTCATTATATTTTCTTGTAACTTACCTCGAGAGCTTTTCAAAAGACTATAATAAAATATTTTTTCATTAAGTATTTTTCGAGTTATAAGGCTCGAAAATTACAGTACAGTCGACATTAGCATTACGCAAGTTGTTCGACTGACGGCTAAAACCTTTTGAATGTTGTTTAGAATCATGTCCTGGATAACATTTGTCAAGATCAAGGCCATTGGAGATTATTCCTCTTATTTTCATTCTTATACTAAAAATTCATTATTACGTAAAAATGAAAATAAAAGGTACAACCTCCAATGTCCTTGATCTTGACAAATGTTATCCATTTAATTGTAATCTAATTAATTCTAACCGAAAGCAAACTGTTCCCTTCGTTTTCATTTTAAAATGAATTCCAAAACCTTTTCTGGAAATAGTATATTCGAAAAGCATTAAATTAAATTAGGATAATGTATAGCAACGTAACAGCAACACATTCTAATTTTATAACAATAAAACAGCAAATTATAGAACTGTTATATGACTACCATATATCATCTTAAGTTATATGTTATATTTATATTATATAACTATAATGATTTGTGAATGGGAAATTACAACTAACGTGGACGTATAATGTTATGCACACGTTATATTATCTGTTATATTTCGTTATATGGAAGCAATATAATAGTTATATACTCGTATATATGTTTGCTGGGTTACGACAATTCGTGTGCTCAGACCTTTACTCAAAATAGGACATCACCATGTGAAAGAGCAGACATTTTTTTGTACTAACTTGTAACGTCCGGTGCGCCTGCAGAGTAGCGCCCCGTACTACACGATAGACCGCAAG